AACAGTTTGTATACTGACACCTTGAGCAGCACTGATCTAAAACATACATCCTCCAATGTACCCCTTGGAGACAAACAGCACTGGGGAATAAGCAAAAATTACTTTATTTAATCATTTACTCCATTTTGAAATTTAAACCTGTGATTATTGACTGGGGCTGTTGAGAAGTCTTGTCTTATGTAATACCTTACCTGTCTCAATATCCTAGTCTTAAAAATATAGAAGTGAAAAAATTATGACACAAAATTTGGTTTCACATAATTTTGTAATCACAACAGTGTCTGACATTTTATTTGCTTCAAATTAAAATAAAAATCTTTCAGAATGTGTCTCTTAGTATGTCAATAGTCTGACATCAACTTTTCCTATACCACAAAGCAACTGTTTTGCACATAGATTCTGCTCCCATTTCAGAGTGAAGATTTAATTAAATGACTTACCAATACATGTAGTAAGTGTTGATTATATGGTAGCTATTGTTATTATTATTTGTTCTTGGATGTATTTATCACTATTCAACTTCTTCCAAACCTCACTCTTTTTTGAAAGATGTTTTGTATGGATGGCAATAAATACACGAAAGATGAGAACACCTTTAAGGACAATCTTCATTAAGGCTAAAATTAGGCCAGGTTCAGTGGCTCAGCCTGTAATTCCAGCACTTTGGGAGGGTGAGGCAAGTGGATTGCCTGAGGCTGCGGGTTCGAGACCCACCCGGGCAACTTGGCAAGCCCTCATCTCTACAATAAATCAAAAATTAGCCGGACATGGTAGCGCGCACCTGTAATTCTGGCTACTTGGAAGGCTGAGGCAGAAGGATCTCCAGAGTACAGCAGGTCGAGGCTGTGGTGGCCAGGAGCGTGCCACTACATTCCAGTCTGGGTGATAGAGTGAGACTCCAACTCAAAAAAAAAAAAAAAAAAGGCTAAAATTTCTTGATCAAATTCCAATCTGAACCACTGCAACTCTATTTTTATCTGCAGGAAACCACAGAATAAACACCAATAGAGACTCATTGTTTTAGAGTCTAGATCTTAACTCTAAGAGCTTTCTAGGGAAGTGAAAAACAAAAATAAAAGCCCAAAACAAAAAGTTCTTTTTCAAGATCACGTTGTTCTTGGGAAGTAGTTTATCCTGAATGTATGCACAGCTTTTCTAACCATGTTAATTCAATTCACATTAATTCCATTAAAGATTCTTTGGCAGAAATTTTTTCTCTTCATCAAATGATTGAATGTTGCAAACTTTCATTATCCTTTTAGTCTGAAAAGGACAGCCTTATTGAAATGGCAAGGATAAAGCTTTCTTAACTCAGAACTTGATTTTCTTGGCCTGCTTTTCCAGGAAATGTGCTCTTTGAAGGAATTCTGTGGCTGATTAAGTAGAAGATGTTTCTGTCTAAATTATCTGCAAATCAGTTGAGGAAGCTCATGTTAAGAGGGGACAGTAAATAGAATGTCCATTTTTGAACAGATAATGTCTACAATGACTGAGTGTAACTAGGTTAGTATCTTAAGTTCCTATGTGAATTGGAAGAAAAGAAAGTAAGGAACAAATACTCTCAACAGGAATGACGCTAAAAGAAACCTGGAAAAAGAGAGTACAAGTGGAGAGGGTGGAACTGAGCAGTGTCACCAGTGAGAATCAAATTGCCAGGTCTTCCTTCTTTTTTCAAGTGAGCAATTAGAAGGTGATAGACTCTCTTTTGTTTTGTTCTTCTCACTTTTCTTGCTATAAGGACTTAATAGACTTAAATTTAATTCAATTTAAGGGAAAATAAACCATATTACCTTTTTGTGTCTCAATTACCTCGCAGGCATATGTGATGCAAAAAATGATTAACAGCACCAAACAATCAGGAAAAGCACAATAAGCAATCAGAGTGGCCATGAGTTTCAAATACAGTGGCCATATAATTAATTGTCCAAATCAGGAAACTTGAAAATGAAAGGGAGCAATATTAATAATTATGTCAGAATAAGAGCAAGGCATACACTGAGACCATCTCAAGCAAACTGGGATGGTGCCCTTTCTTGCCATAAGTAAACAACAAAAATAAACTGGCTGAATAAAATAAAGTTTGACTAGAGGTTTTTTTTTTTTGAGTTGGAATCTCACTCTGTCGCCCAGACTGGAGTGCAGTGGCACCTCCCAGCTACCGCCGCCTCGACCTGCTGGGTTCCAGTGATCCTTCTGCCTCAGCCTTCCAAGTAGCTGGAACTACAGGCATGCGCTACCACGCCCGGTTGATTTTTTGATTTATTGTAGAGATGAGGTCTCGCTGCCCAGGCGGGTCTCGAACCCGCGGGCTCAGGCAATCCACTCACCTCAGCCTCCCAAAGGTGCGGGATTACAGGCTGAGCCACTGAGCCTGGCTTGATTTTTTGATTTATTGTAGAGATGAGGTCTCATTGCCCAGGCGGGCCTCGAACCCGCAGGCTCAGGCAATCCACTCACCTCAGCCTCCCAAAGGCGCAGGATTATAGGCTGAGCCACCGAGCCCGGCTAATTATTAGTTTTTAATGTTAATATCTTGACAAATAAACTGCCAAATCAACCTGGAAGTTCAGGCCTGCATTTATAATTCTCCAAATCCCTGAAGTCCCAAGTCACAATGAGGTAACAGTTGGAAGAGCTATTCTGCAGCCAAGGGTCTGTACCATGAGGGGCCTCATGTGCACAGGTGTGGACACTGCTGCCTGCATACCCAAGCTCAGTTCCCATCCCCCCTACAAATGGCTGCCACTAAGGCTTAGAGGCACACATATCAGTGTGCTCCATCCTTGGAAGGACGGACCAGGGAAGAGGTTCACACATGCTCTGGAAGCAGATACAAGGCCATTAGGGCTAGAGATCCTGAATATCTAGGGTATGGCAGTGAGAGTGAGTATGATCTAGGTGAGCACATCCCTTGGCCCTGCAGACTCTTTGCCCAGGGGTATGTGGGGTCCTCTAAATGGTGGAGCCTATAGCCGCTCCCCCATGTCCAGGAAGACTGGCTAGAACAGTTGTATGTGTGTGTGTGTGTGTGTGTGTGTGTGTGTGTGTGTGTGACAGAGTCAGAGTCTCACTGCTACCCAGGCTGGAGTGTGGTGGCATAATCATGACTTACCACAGCCTCCAACTCTTGGGCTCAAACAATCCTCCATCAGCCTCCTGAGTAGCTGAGACTACAGGTACATACCACAGCACTTGGCTAATTATTATTACTATTATTATTATTATTATTATTATTTTGAGTTGGAGTCTCACTCTGTCGCCCAGACTGGAGTGCAGTGGCCACCCCCGGCCAC